CTCATCATGACTAACAGCTGCTGAAAGATGTCCATGATATGCCTAATCTCCATTAAAGGACACAAATTTGCATGCATTTGTTCTGCATTTTTATCTATTTTGCATAACATATGCTGGTTTTGTTAGCCTTGGGGAAGGGCTAGGAGCTACTGGGGCACTGAAGCTTCCAGCCACTTATAATCTTATCCAGCCATCTCTTTGTTTTCCCCGAGCTTTCGGCAAGCATTCTTTGCTCTTGCCCTTTCACTCATACATTTTCTGTCCTGAGGGCTAGAAACTTGGTCTTAAAAAGGAGAGAGAAAGAAGCAGAGATTTCCAGGAAATGTAACTCAGTGCCAATGACCAGACTGTGGACATTTTCTCTTGCAGAACTGCAGCAAGCACATCATGTTGCTCAAAGGAGGCACTGCACTGTAATTTTTTCTGCTCAACATTGCCCGGTGTGGACAGCGCAAGCTCTACCAACCCTGCAGACATCACTGTTCTCACAGTGGCCAATGAGATGCAAGGAGGACCCAAATGCAAGAGCACTCTCCCCTTCTGAAGTTATTCAGAAGCATTACTGCCTATGACTGTAGAGGCAGAGCCATCTTGTTTAGTTTCTCCTCTTTAAAACTCTACTCTCCATCTCAAACTGCAGCTGTGCCAGCAACTGACTACAGGGAAGAACTCTGGCTGGGGAGTCAGGTTTGGACCGAAACACTTTAGTTCTCTGTGTAACTGTTTTATGTGTGATGAGCCACCAAACTGAAGGTTACAGCACCTGCCTAGACAGTGTAGTACCCTCGGGGCTTGGAATAACCTGACTGACAACTGGATTCTAGCAGACAGTAAAGACTGTAAGAAGGTTTCCTGAGCTCTGGGATGCTCTTGTATTCCTCGGTCCTGATTTCTGGCTTGCTGCTCAGTCCTGCCTTTTTCCCCAGCTCTGACACACACTTTTGCCCTGACTGCTAGCTCTTGGTTCACCTCAAACCCACAGTCCAGCCCGGATGCCTGGAGATGTCCTGCTCTCGATTTGGTCCCAGCTGAGGCCACCCATGGCCCCAGCCAAACCCTGGAATTGCAGGGAAGCAGCTGGCAAGCAGCATCAGAGAATGTATTTGGCACAATGCAGGATGACTCTCTGGCATAAGCAGCCTGGTTCTTAGCCCCAGCTCCACAAAATGAAAACAGCCTAAGGCAAATGGAGCAAACCCCCAGGGAGTTTCAGACTATATTAAAATAATAAAAATAAAAATAAAGCATTCACACAGCGAGACCTGTTTGCTGAGCACCTGGTTCCCTGCTGCTCCCACACTCAAGAAACTCATCTCCCCATTTACATCTATACCACCTTCATCTGGAGAGAATGCACTGCTACTTGTTTACATCTCTTGCAGCAGATACCTGCAGTGGCCTGTCTCTCTCTCTCTCTCTCTCTCTCTCTCTCTCTCTCTCTTCTCTCTTCTCTCTTCTCTCTTTCTTTCTTTCTCTCTCTTTTCCCCCCATGGCCACACCTTTATTTTGGTTCTACAGCATGCAAATTCTTCACCATCTGCTTAGGACTGCTGGGAAGAACCTCCCAGAAGATTGGTGCTTCCTTTCAACCTTTGTGACAAATGACAGATCTGCCTCTCTTTCTATCTGCAAGTCACTCCCAGGACTGGCAATGCGGAAGAGCGAGGTGTCAGGCAACCGCTTGCTAGATTTCCTCCTCTCTGGGCCATTCCACCACCCTTTACACTTCCTTCCCAGAACATGCCATGGTGGAAAACAGGCTCACAAACGACATTGCAACACCTCTCAGCCTAACCTACCTTACAGGGTTGTTGTAGGGATTAAACCAAGAAGAGGAGAACCATATATGCTACCATGAGCTCCTCAGAGGAAAAGGTGGGGTGGAAATGGAATAAATAAATAAGGCTCATAAAATCCAGCATCCTTTTCCCACAGTAGCCAGGCAAAGACCTCCAGGAAACCAGACACAAAGCCAGTGGCCATCCTCTGTTGTTTCCCCGAAACAAGAGGTCTTCATGGGTATGCTGCCTCTCAGCAAATGGACTCCATATAGCCATCACTGCCAATGGTAGCCATTGGCAGGCCAAACCTTTTGTGTGCATGCTAATGTCTCTAATCTCCTTCAAAGGTTCTCTAAGGCGATGGCAATAGCCACAGTTTATGACGACAGATCCTGCAAATAAATAATACATCTTGGATGAACTAGTCCCCCCCCCCAGTGTGTCCTGAATCCACTGACAATCTGCTTCATTGGATGATCCCTGGTTATAGCATTGTGGGGGGGGGGGAGAGGAAGAACAAAAAAAGATCTTTCACTTTCTCCCCCACTGACCCTCCTGGATCAGGCATCTCAGTGCCCCATCCCACCCCGCAGGATACCCCCTGCGAGATTTGAGGGGGCTGCCGGCAGCAGCAGTAAATAGTTATGAGCTGCCATTTAAAATTTCTAACAATGCTAGAATTTCTAAAATTTCTAACAATGTCATATTTCAAAAAGTTTTGTACAAAGTTGTTGAGCTTTTTTTGGCAAAATTGCAAAAAGAGAAAAGAAAAGAAAGAAGACTTTTGGAGCTAGTTTTAAAGAAAATTGGCAACAACGACACTGCCATCATCATGGGTTGCCATACAGATGGATTTTCCTGTATATTTTGCTGATTTACTCCTGGACACTGATTCCCACAGCAGTATTCCAGGTATGTCTAGGAAATTCTGAACGTATGGCAACTCTAAACAATGTCCCTGATGTAGAATCACTCAGGTAAGGAAGGATGGAACTAAATGACCCTTGTGGTCCTTTTCAACGTTACAATTCTGTGACTCTATGAAATCTGTCCATTTCAATTTCACATTATCCCCAATCGTTGTTTTTCCAATTTCTACATTGCGGTTGGCATCTGTCTGTCTCGGCAAACAATGGAAGAGTGTGCCTTCAGCGGTAAAGTCAAACTATTGGAGAATTACAGTGCCTACTGTGGCTGTACAGACCAACACAGGAGAGACATGTTTGGTTGCAGCTGGGGCAGATGAAAGTGGCCAGTTGTGCTGATTCAGTTGCACCATGGTGTTTCATCTCTCTGTGCTCCTCCCAGTGATCATTCCTCCTTTAGTCACTGCTGTGGATGTATGACCTGACTACCTATCTCCAGGCAGTACAGTTATCTGCAAGGGATTCCCACATTTTGAGGTTAATGCTGTCAGACATTGTAATGTAGAGTTGGTCTGCCAATGGGCCTGGTGCCCGAAGCCAGCTCCCTGCAGAGCATGTCCTTGGGGATCCTGCCATCTTGGACATGTGTGCCATGTGGACATGACCAAGCCAGCATAGATGTTGCTGAGACAGAAGTGTGAGCATGCTGGGAATGTGGACTTGGGAGAGCTTATCTTTGTTTGAGAGTGTGTCCTGCCATGTGGTGCCCCAAATCTTCCTGCACATATGGAAGGCCTTGAGGCATTGCTTCTGGCAGGTATAAGTTGCTCCCCTCTCAACACGTAAGCTTAGTAGACCTTCATATTGGTCTTTACCACGTGCCTAGGAGTTGATGGTGTTCTCATCAAGGGAAGGAGAGAGATCCAGCTTTCCCAGACATGCAGAGTCTGGACGCTGCTAGCTGCTGTGTCAGTGACCATGTTTTCCCTCTAGTACAGTTCTTGATAGTGCTCTGTTCATTGCTTCAACTGCTTGCTGTTGTCTGTGTTAATCTCTCCAGACAATGTTTCTAGCAGTGCAGTTTTCCTGACTGTTCATCCAAAGGCTTTCCTCATGCCTTCATACATTTCGCAAGTGTTGCCAGTACCAGCAGTGAGTTGAGTACTCTGGGATAGCTTTAGCAGGTAGTGACTTAAGTTATGCTTTCTGTGAAGTGTACGTAACAGAACTTGCACACCATTCTCTTGAAACTGATGTCTATTCAGTGTTCTTAACTACATCGCTTTGGAGCATACAAAACAACTCCTCCCCAGTGTTTCTCCCATGCACCTTCTCCAGAGTGACCCTAGGAGTCTATCCTCTGTGGCTGACTCACCTCCTTTCACCTTGATTGGCTCCAATCAGTACAAAGAGTGAAAACAGATCTTTGTAGTGGCCCCAAAGCTCCCCCTTCATGCTGATTGGACAGCTCTAAGGTGCTGAAAAGAGGGACCCTGCTGCAGAAATAGTAACAGGGCTTTGACTTAACCCTTGACCCTGGAGCATTCTCCTAGAAAGACCTCACTGGCATACTGGTTTTGTATCTATAAGGAAAATTGGGAGGGACTACTGGAATATTCAACCCTCACCTGCAGTCTGAAATGGCACATCCCATCAACAGATAAATCATATGGGTCTTCTGCTGGTTTACTTTAGCCCTGGGCTTTATCAAGAGTATCTCTGCAGATGCTTTCCTGTTAACAACATCTGTCAAACGCGTCATGGCCATTTGCAGGTGTGTTTCCTAATAAACAGCCGCTTATCTCCGAGTTGTGCATGAGTCAACGCATTGATACATGCCGAGATGGCAACTCGAAAGAAAGTTAACAAAAGCTTCATTGATGATGAATCCCAGCCAGACTCCTGTCTGATGAACTTGCTCACGTCTTGAAAGATGCTCAAGTGGAAAAAATCCTAGATTGGGATCAACTTAGTTTACCCTCCAGACATGGCGAAGCGAAGCTTGGCCGGCGTTCGCTCTCTGTGGGTGGAAAGCTTGGAATTGTGGGATTGAAGAGCTGGAAGGGTCTTTGGATGCCATGAAGCCTAAGGCCACATTCACACTATACCTTGACCCATTTAATAGAATAACAGAATAACAGAGTTGAAAGTGACCCCCAACGGTCATTGAGTCCAACGCCTGCAATGCATTTTAAGCCGATATTGTGAACATAGACAACAGGTACTATGTAAAGCACACAATTAACATCTCGCCTCTCTTCCATGCTCCTTTGAGATTTGGGTCACATGAAAAAACAAAATACCAACAAAGCAATGGTATGTGGCACTATGCATCTGCACGAAGGGCATTTACCTGTCTGCTGAAATCCAGTCCATTTCGTTCATTTCCTGTAAATGAAATGAAAAGGGAGGGAGAGATTGAGAGAGAGCGTAAGATGAGTGAAGACTGTTATTTTAACAAAAGAACAAGTGCGCAAGTCCTCAGCTAAAGGCTGCATTTATCTATTAAAACCTGCCACAGCTCAGGACCTGGGTATCTAAAGCACCTTATTTATTTATCTATTTGCTTGTTTGTTTGATTGCTTTTATTATTATTATTTTTAAAAACCCACTTTCGGAAAAAAGCTTTTAGGGCTGCGCAGGGCTGCCTGCCCCATCCCCCCCATGAGGCAGGGTGAAGCAGCCACTTTGGGCAGCAGAAGCCCCCAAGCTGACAACCACATGGGAGCTCTGCCCAACCTGTCACCTCCACTGAAGCAGCAGCAGCAGCAGCACTGACATGGGTGTCCATTTCCAGTGAGATGTCAGAGATATTTCTGGTGAGAGCTTGGTGGATCTAGTTTGGCTGGTGGCGTAGCCATGGCAGGGTGGCCCTTCTCATTTTGCCTCCTGCCATTGAGGTGCAGTGGTGTCTGGTGCCCATCAGAACTGGTAGGGTGGAAGGCAGGGAGGCCAACAGTAGGTGGCACCAGAGCTAACAGCAGAGCCAACTCTAATTCTCATTTCAGCCTCATCTTTCTCCCTGCTTAGTTGTAAAAGGGTGACAGTGAGATTGAGGAAGAGGAAGCTGACAGGCAGGGCCACAACTTGGACTCGTTGCAAGTAAGAAGGCAGGCAGGTGGTGGTGGGTTTTATTAGGTAGTTGAGGGACGATCTTAACTATATTTTATCCCTCTACCAACCCACATGTGTGGGTTAACATACAAAAAGGATCAACTTAATGCATGCACTTAAAAGCACAAAAAGCTTAAGTCCCTTTTTAGGCAATTTAAATGAAAGCACAAGACTTTGCCATTGGGCTGATCTCCCCCTTTTGTTACTGAATACTGAAAAGTAAGTTTAAAACATATACTTTGCTCACAGTCAAGCATTCATCTTAGCAACAGCAGCATTAAGAGTAAATACAGGTCAAATACTTGTGTTTACAGCAAAAACAGCTTCAGGCATGTGCCTGATGCTGGAGTAAGAAGAGGCCTGGTTGGCTGAAGAGAGAGAGAAAGAGAGGAGGAGGAAAAGGAAATATTTCTTTGCTTCTTCCTCCCAGGAGGGGAGGGGAAATGACATCACACAGAGCCTTCTCTACCAATCATATTTATATGGTCTGAGTCTGTCTATCAGCAATATGACTCTATGGTTTTAACCCCTTCACATGCTAATTAGCAAGAATATGCCTTGTTACAGTTTCTACATCTCCCACAAAAGGGGTGCTGAAGTTGGTGGGAACAGCACCCCATTTGCTCCAATGCACCAGCCTCCAGTGCAAGATCTTCAGAGGCCCTTTACAAGGGTTGACCTTGTTAATATGCCACCCTGTGTGAGGCACCAGGCTTTGGAAATGAGCCATAAGGCTCTGGCAGAGTCCTAGAGCCCTCCCTTCTCCTTCCCTAAACCTGGTATGCACTTGCCCAGCTTTGAGAAGGAGGCATGAGTCCTCATGCCCTCTTCTGGAAACTGGGCAAGCACTTATCGGGCTTTGAGAAGGTGCCCACCTTGGCTGTGTGTCCAGTGTCCCTGTAGAGCTTGCACTGCCCTAAATCCGCCTCTGCCTTTTATCATCTTTGAAGAAATCTCATTCTCACACATGAAATGGGTCATCCTAACTGGGAGATGCCAAACTAATTACTATTTATCCCTTTGGCAGAACACTCTGGGGAACAAAATGCTCCATGACTCTTATCTCAAGGACTGATGCAACAAACCTGCTATGTAAGTTCCACTGAGGTGATAGCGGCTGTCGAAGGACTTGCCCAAATGGGTTTTAAGGAGAAGGAGGGGTGTGAATCTGGCTCGCCAAAGGACAGAACCCAACACCCTACTCACTGCTCCAGCCTCAGTGGGAAAACATGATCTAATTTATTGATATTCATAGTATGGTTTTGCATCCCAGAAGTGGCACTCAGTGACACTTACGGCAATTAACCATTCAATGCACTCAAACGACATTAAAATTAAGAAATGGATAAAAATCTGAATAGCACACTGACAGAAGTATATGCAAACCTCCCCCACATTGTCAGAGCAGTATAAAATGTTAGTCCACATCATCCTTGCTGCCCAGTCCTGTCCAGTTATTGTTGGGCTCTACTTCCCAACAGCCTTAGACAACATGAGCAATGTTTTGAAAACCCCAGCATAACAACAACAACAACAACAACAACAACAACAACATGACAGAGGAAAGCAGATTAGGTGAAAATCTGGGCTGCACCTGCCCCACACAGAACTAAGTTTCAAGACTCATGTGTACTAGACCATAATGTTTTCATTAATGTATTTTCATTTATTCATATCCTGGTTTTCAGCCAAGTTTGGCTTCCAATATATGATCAATACGATCTGAAGAGAAACCAGTCTCCTGGAGATGCCATTGGCTATGAAACTACGTCACCAGAGGTCCGAAGAGCCATTTTCATACATCACGATGTCTAGACAGTTTTATCCTAAAGTACCTGTTACTATGGGACATGGGTGGCACTGTGGGTTAAACCACAGAGCCTAGGACTTGCCGATCAGAAGATTGGCGGTTCGAATCCCCACGACAGGGTGAGCTCCCATTGCTTGGTCCCTGCTCCTGCCAACCTAGCAGTTCGAAAGCACGTCAAAGTGCAAGTAGATAAATAGGTACTGCTCCAGCAGGAAGGTAAATGGTGTTTCCGTGTGCTGCTCTGGTTCGCTAGAAGCGGCTTAGTCATGCTGGCCACATGACCCGGAAGCTGTACGCTGGCTCCCTAGGTCAATAAAGCGAGATGAGCACCGCAACCCCAGAGTCGGCCACAACTGGACCTCATGGTCAGGGGTCCCTTTACCTTTACCTTTTACCTGCTACTATGTTTCATTAACTGTGTTGTGTTCTGATCCATATATATGGTGCACTTTTTCTATGCTAATAAAGGAGATTGATTAACTTAACTTGATCAATTCAAATCCACAAAAAGGTACACAGTATTAGGTAGGTGTGATGGTCTTTGTGGCAGTTTTCTCTGGAGCCTTGCTGTTGGTGACCCAACTCAAATTCCAGGCTATAACCTTCAGAGAGGTCTTCTGCAAAATGTTGCCCTCTGGATGTTTTGGACTACATCTCCCATAAGCCAGACATCTGGAGGGCACTGGTTTTTAAAAGGCTGCTTCAGTGGAAAGGAGCAGAAGCACCTGTCGATGGACTCAGGAGCTGATGGTGGCAAAGGTCTGAACCAAGTTGTCCCTTTGTTGGTCTGCAGAATATTCTAGTCCCTGGGTGACTCAACAGCCCTTCCCCAATACCTGCATACCAAAACCCTCTGCCACTGCCCCCATCAGATCGATCCAGGACAAGACTCAACAAGCAAAACCCAACAAGCAGGGTAAGGTAGTGGAGACAAGGAGAGGAGGGTGAAAAAAAGGTGGGAGGCTGCAAGATTACGATCAGGGTGCTTTTACAGCTGCCTTTTGCACAACTCACTGAATCTGGCAGATAGCATTTTGAAAACAACTGTGTAAACAAAACTTTGCATTGACAAACAACATCAGTGGGAAGCTGCCATAGACCTCTTCAGACTACTTACGGCTCTAGTGCAGTATTGTCTGATGAGATTAGAACCAGCTCTCTGCGATCTCTAGAGGAGATCTACCTTTCCTGTCTCCTGGATGTGCCATTGGTAGAACCTGAGACCTTCCTGCATGTAGAAATGTGCATTCTACCACTATGGTAGAAACACACAGCAGATTGCAAAAAGAATTGGTGCAATTGACTGGGAATGTGCCTCTGGGTAAGTAGTGTATTGAGATGAATGGGATCCGACTAGGGTGCACACCCATTAACACCTCGCTGGATTATCAGGGCACGAGCCCTTGCAGAAAACAATGGGTAGAAAACCAGGTGAACAAGCTGTTAAAGAAACATGCCATTGAGTACGGGAGCAATAGACCTATGAATATGCTGCATATATGCTGCATATGCATGGAAGTACACAAATGTCTCCAGGGAGGATCGGTGATCCCAAACAAACAGCGGCCAGTGCTGCACACGCAGAGCTGCACCCAGAGGCCCAGCATGCCCCAAGAGGCATGGCACACCTGCTAGCATTTTGAAATGCCAAAGAAAACTGGTACTGTGCCTGAAGCTGCCTCAGCGGGATCTTAGCTGATAAGGCAGAGTACGAATATAGGGAACAAATGCATGCACATGTACATACCATGAACTCTATCATGGACCATGATGGAAGCAAAGGGAACAGACATATAGTTATGCACTCAGAAGAACTTTGCTTACAACTTTGGTTACAACCTGCATTTGGTTGTCTTATTCATTTAATAAATAATTTGTCTCTGTGGAGGTTTGTTGTTTTCATTTGCTACTACATTCTTTGGTTTTTTTTGGCGTTTTTATATTGTAGACTGCCCTGCAATCCTCGGATGAAGGGTGCTATTGAAATTAAATTTAAAAATTGTTGTTATTGATAACTTTATTTCTGTAATTTTGGAGTTGCTTCTCTATATTATGTTGTAATGTTGTAATCTGCTCCGGAACCATAAGGTGAAGGATAGCTTAATAATAATAATAATAATAATAATAATAATAATATAACAACAACAACTACTGTTACTATTACTTAATTATTATTTAAACTTATTCTGCCTTTTCTCCCAAAGAAGCCCAGGGCAACAAACACACAAATGTTGAAACAACTGAAACATCCAAAAGCAACCCCACCACTTCTATTCTTTCCAGCTGAGTTTGTGTGGGAGAACTTAAGAACGCAAGAAGACGGATTAGACTAAAGGTCCATTTAGCCCAGCATCCTGCTTCTTCCAGTGACCAAATGGATGCATGTGAGGAGCCCAGAAGCAGCAACCAAAGGCAATAGCCCTCTGAACCTGGGCGATGCCATCATGACTAGTAGCCATTGAATG